TTTTATATCTTACAAATCAAAAATTTTTTAGACTATTATTTAAAAAAATAATAGAAAAAAATTTTTTAAATTTTTTTTTGGTGTAATTTTCTTTACAAATACCAATTTTATAATTATATGAAAAAAGTTTTCGATTCGCTTAAAATGTTCTCAAGGTATGGAAAAATACACAAAAAGTAAAAGTAGCATTAAGGAGTTTGAACTTACGACTGCTCTCTTACCTATATGATTGACTGCTCTCTTACCTATACCACTCCCGTGTTTTGAGGGTCAAGCATGTAAATCCATCGAAACCAAGTTTTTTTTTCTTTTTTTTTTTCAGAGAAAGCACGATTTTGTGTCTCATTTCGTAACTTAAAATATCCACTACACGAATTATTTAGCATACTTTGCGTAAGGTTAGACTCTAGTACGTGAAAATTCAATCATTCAATCAAAAGTTTTTCGAAGTGTTTACTTTAAGTTTAGTGTGCAGTACGCTAATCTTCACGATTAAAAAAAATTACTTGTAAAGAGTCCAGATTGAACAATATGCAAAAACATAAATTTACCCACAAATTCTGGAATTAAGAAACGAATTTTCACTTGCTTTAATTTGCGATACTATTATTCATATTCATCTCAAATTTCACAACTGCAAGTTCCAAAGTTTATAGTTAATCATAAATTTGCTTCCATTTGCTAATACTCTCAAGAGCTGTGTGAATTTAAAAAGTCTAAGCAAAGGGCATTTGTAAATTTTAATTATTATTTTTTATGAGGTTTTAACAGAGCTTTTATGGTTTACCAATTTTTAATAATTACCCGACAAGGTTTGATGACCCTTCTGCTCAGTGCTCAAAATCCGTATTTTAAATTAACAGCATTAAATTCGATAGCTAAAATAGATATTTTAAGTAAACAAAGAAAATAACTAATAAACTAAAATAAATAAAAAAAATATTAAAAAATATATTACAAATAAAAAGCTAAAATAAATAACCTTTCAATGTATGAAATTATACCAACCGCTGCAACAAATTGGCAAGATAAAGTAAGATGAATAAAATATAATATCAAAATTTATTTATAAAACAAGCTTTTAAACTATCTCTTTAAGGAGTACTTTTCCTTCCATCTTTGGTTTACTTGATTTGAAACATACTTCCGGTAAAAACTAGAAGTTTCCATTCCGAGAGTCATGTGCCGAATGGCACATATTAGCGAAAAACACTTACCTCAGAAATTTCGTATCGAAACAGAGAGATTCCGAAAAGAGAACTTTCTGAATCAGTAGAATTTCCGAAGACAGCGTAATAAGGCTCGGGCTTCTACTACCAGGGGCCCTATTACCAACTCATCGAATCTAATCACGGAATCTAATCCTTCACGGAATCTTATTCCGATCGGAATGATGCTCTCTTGACGTTAATATAAGAATGTTAGTAAGGCGTATTACAAACTGTTGATTCCTCACGGAATTAAATTACGGTGTGAAAGATTACGAATTCCATTCCAGTAAGTTAAACAATAGACAAAATCTCTATTCCGTAACAGAATGGCAGAATATATTATTATTATTTTTTAAATCCTGATACTTTAATTTTAATATAAAAGGCATCAAAAATTTAAAAGCTTTCTGGATGTTTTATATTTTTCACTGAATTGCTGGAACAGAAATAATAAAAATATTTATTTTTATTAGAAGAAATACGCATTATAATGTTTAAATATATACTGCTGATATCAGAAAATCATGAAATTAACTACAAAATTCATAACGAAGCTAACTGTCGAAACTACATAAATATAAAAAGGAAATAAAAAATCGATGCTAATTAGTATTTTAAAAAATTATGGTGGCATATAAATCAATCAATAAAATTGGAAAATTAATAAATTTAAAGAATGTCCTTAAAATAGATCGTATTTTTTCTGCCTAAAATAAATATTTTTACTATTTCTCTTCCAACAATTAAGTGAAAAGTATAGGAAATACAGAAACTTTTTTCCTTTCTTGACGCTTTTTATAATAAGAAAATAAAAGTAATGTATTAGAATTTAAAAAAACAAGAATTATAATAACTTTTGACATTCTATTACAAAATAGAGATTTCGTCTGCTCCATAACCTACTGGAATAGAGTTCGTAATAAATTCCCCCCGGAATTTATTTCCAAGCGGAATCAAATGTTCCTAATACGCTGTACTGACATTCACGGAATTACAACTTCACGAGAGCAACATTTCGACCAGAATTAGATTCCATGGAGCGGGTAATAGAGCCTGTGACGTAACTACCGTTACAATTATTAAACATCAATTCTTTAGTTTATAAGATAGGCTAACTCGATTCAATCTTGGGTACCTTTGGATTGAACAAGGTTGACATTGTTGAAAGATCCTCTCCCTATATTGGTGACCTGCTGACGGGATATGAACACGCCTACTTCGATGGATGATACACGATGAAAAGTTAGCTTGCTATTTGTGACTGCGTCATTTGTCCTCCTCGCGCTGTTGCTTCTCAGTCCCATTTACACACAACAGGATCCTGCTCACACTCAACTGCTAATAACAACACAGGAGAAACCACTCACACAACCGAGAACTTAATACAGTTCTCATGACAAACCAAACACTTAAAACCCGGAGAACTTAATACAGCTCTCCCTGTCTTTCGCAAATACGGCAACTAGTGGTATCCGTTCATCGAATTCTATCCCTGACAAAATTCTTTTGGGGAAGTATTGGGACGTAACTGCCACTGCAATTATTAATTATCAATTCACTAGTATACAAGAAGGTTCAATCTTCGGGTACGCTTGGAGTGAACAACAACAATCTCGAGCTCTTGACCGAATTATTCTACTACCATCAAAATCTTCCCCTGGCTTATTCCAAAAATAAAAAATCGACGCAAGATAATAACCAAAAATATAAAACTCTAATATTATATAGCATCAAAACCAATGCAAAATTATCTTACTGCAAACGCCAGATAATATTATTTGTATAGAATCTAACGTTATATAAGACTAAGAAAACAGTGACCTTTTGTGTTTTTTTAATATTCGTAGTACAAGATAACGTTAGATTTACTAAGTTGTACAAGATAACATTAGATTTTCCGATTTTCTGATGTAATCTAATATTAGTTTCCTACGTGGGAAGTTTCATTATTGTGATTTTTGTTTAAATTCACGTGTAATTTTACCATTCATAAGAGTACAATTTACAAACTCTGAAAGTTCGCAAGCTGTCAATGAGTTTGAGAAAATTAATATCACAACATAAATACGGTGTAATGTTTGCGATGATTGAGTGGTATCCCTTATTTGGCTATTTTTGTGTCAAATATCGCCATTTTTTTATTTTTTTAGGTGCATTATGGATAGTGTTTTCAGCACTAAGGAGAGCTTCAAGCTTTTGAATGCCTATACTTCCGGGTTATTGTTTTTGGTGTGTTTTGAAGCCATTTGGCTTACAACGTGAACATTGTGTTTTGAGACTCTCTTGAGTAGTATTTCTTGTATACGTGTATTTGTTACCAGATTTATTATTTGTGTTTAAGTGAAGAATAGTTATAAGAATCATCATTTGAAGACCTGTAATTTCAAGACGTAAGAACTGTCATTTGAAAGGTAGGAACTTTATTTACGTCGCACTAGAGCTATTCGCGAGTTTAACGAGGACCGATACCACGCACCCTTGATGCCTGCGCAGGCTGATAAAAGTATTCACCCACCCGCTTACTGACCGCATCCAATTGATATTCGAAAAAAGAGTCGTTATAAAACACTTCTTATCTTGTTAACAATATACCAATTTCGAAATCTAAACCTAAATTCGTAAAATGAGCTGCTGGAACAATATGCTAACACTAATACATGATGGTGCACGACTTGCACCAAGAACAAACAGTAATAAAAAAGAAAAAAGAGGCCAAATCAGAACTGCCAAAGAAGTGAGTTCTTTCTAAATCTAGCAACCATGTGACCTTTTTTAACAATACATGTCTAAATAACTTTTCCGTGATAACATTAGAATTACTTTATAGCTTTAATATCTCATGAAATACAGCAGATATGAGCTCGGAAATTACATAATTTATTTCTTTTTTTAAAAACAAAATTATCTATTTGAAAATATCGTCCTGCAGAATTGGCAATCGAAATAGGCTGCAGGTGGCGTAGAGCAGAACTCTCTACCTAGGGCAGCACTTCGCATGCTTTCCCCATTAGCGTGTGGAGAGTCATAGAGAAAAGAAGTACATTAGTTTAATCGTATAGATTAAAATCTTTTAAGTTGGAAAACTATATGGAACTAAAAACTACATTAAACATAGTTCTGAAGAAAAGCATCACGGAAATTTTTAAAAATATTTTTATTGAATAAAAAGAAAAAATATTAGGAAAAGGGAAAATATCGTAGTACATTCCTATAAAACTGAAAAGAGGAGGAGAAGGAAGGGAGAAAGGCCAAAGGCATGAAACCGGTCTCTCCCCAGATGGCGTATTCGAGCGTTGCGATCGCCAATAAGCTGTAGTAAGCAGTTGCATACTTTCTTGCCAGAAGTAGAGCAGGTCATAAACTGGAGATTGCTTTTCCATCCATACTACCATGCAATTGAAAAATAAACGCAAGCGACAAAAATTAAAATTTGAGATTTTTATACATTTGGCATCTTTTAATGGTTAGCTACACATTGGAAAAAAAGAATAAATAAATAAATAAATAAATAAATTTTGCTTATCAGCTTTTTTATATTTTATTTTAGCAATATATTTTATTTAGCCGTGAAAAACTTACGTTGTTTTTTCAATTGCACGGCAGTAAAGCGTATGCTAGCAGAATCTTCCGAATTCTTCTGATGTTTGATTCGTTGAAAGTTAAATTAAAAGAACTCGTTATGGTGTAAACACTACAAGTATAATAATATTGCATGGCGGGCTTTTCTAAGCTTTGGCGTAGAAATAAATCGGAAGTATTAACCCGGAAGTTTTACAACAAATGTAAACTACTAGCGCCATCTTTGCTTAAATTTATACGGTTGTCTATCCATACTTACATTAAAATTTATCGAAATTCATCGATTACGAAATCGCTTGATCAGCATGTGTTTTGGTTTTGTGAGCAGCGCGAAACTGAGTTTTATAGTAAATAAATCATAATGGGCAATTAAGTTAGATTATTTTTAGATCATTTCATTCATTAAAGTGATTAAGAATCTGAATTTTCATTGTTTCAGTTTAACTAATAAACTGTAGCAGCGTGTTTCATTCGCTGAATAAAAGTATTTTATCCTTGAATTTTTAGATGTAAGTTTTTTTTAAGGGAGTGGCTACAATTTGTTTCTCTGTATTTAAAATATTTTTTACATATTTGATCACACTGTTTATTAGCTTATTTTATATTATAATTTTTAATTTAGTTTTTTAAATATGCTGCTTGAAAATGTATTTATTATTGTCATGATGTACACTATTTGTAAACAGCAGTCTGCTGTTTTGTAATCAGAAGTTTGTCTAAGATTTTATAATAGACTTTTTTTAATTAATTTTTTTTGTTGAAAGTATTGCGGTTAAAGGATAATGTTTTGTATAACGTGTTTGTTTGAAGTTTAAATGTTTGTGGAAAAAAGATTAACAGGTTTGTTTACTTTGAAGAAGATAAATATGCAGATAGCATGTTATTTATAATTTTGTAATTTTTCATGTTATAATTGTTGCGATTGCTACTGAAAAATTTTGAGTTTAAACGGGACAATTATATATCCGTTCTGTGATCTGTTACTCCAGCTAAAATGTTGAAGGTGCTAATGAATTTTATTCATCAAATTTGTCCCCCTCTGTGTTGTTTCTTCTTATTTTCTCATGGGCCACTGCCTGGAAGTTGTCAAGACTTGTCAGTTATTTTGGCATATATCACTCTGGAAATATTCCAAGTTTTTTAAATTGTAATGTTCAACACATAATCTGAACAGGCAATTTATCATAACAGGAAGATTTCTGTGTCATGATCTGTTCAAAATGATCACTAAATCTTGGCAACTTCCGGGCGATGGCCCAGTAAGAAAAAAACAAATCTATCACAGAATGGGACCAACTCGAAGGATGCTTAACTAACTTGTAGCAATCACCAGGTAAAACTCTACATGTTCTAATAAGCAAATTTGCAAGTTTAAAGCCTATCTGGCGCTTTGTAATTGTAGTTGACGAGACAGATCACAATATGAAATATTCTCATTATAATTACCAATAATAAATAGCTTTCACTCAAAATAAAGATAAGTGAGTTTTATGTCACAGAGCTAGTGTGCAGTGTTTATTCTAGACCTTAAAAAAGGCAGACTGCTAAAAGCTAAAAAGGGCACTATTTCTCCATAAAAAAGGGCATTGTTTGCAAATATTTGCATAACTCTTAAGACACTCAAATTATACAAAGTTTTTAATTTCTTCATTAAAAAAAGTCTTTTTTAAAAATAAGATTAAAATTAAAACGAATTTCTCAGTTTAATTTGCTCATTTTATAAATTAGTTTTAAAATTAAAGTAATACTCGAATTTTGAAAATGTTGCAAGTCGTTATGATAACTTATTAAACATATTGGAATTTTTAAAACAATGTAAAAATGATAAGTAATAGTAATAACTGCCGAAAAAGAGATCGAAAATCAATGTGGACTTACGATGGAATTGTCACAAGTCAAACGTGTGAAAAAGTGATTACTAAAATATGAAGTTCGTTAGCCATGACATCATATTAATTAAATTGGAATGGAACAAAACAACAAAGAAATAGTCAAAAAACGACCAACAGCTGCCAAAAACACGATTCTTAAATTATGTGGAATTACGGTAGAATCGATCCAAATTGAGTATGTTAAAAAGTGATTCCTTAAAGCTTAAAACTGCTTGTCGTAGTAACATTGTATTAAAATTATCAGAATTAAAAAAGAAGTAGGAATTACCATAAGCGATGCTAATTATGGAATAGTCGCAAAACGGACACCTTAAAGAGTGATAACACAAATTCAAAATATAAACATTGTATTAAATTATATGAAATAGATACAAAAGCCATATAAAAAATGAGGCCAATAAAATTATAAATAACTGCTAAAAGAACTATTAGGTTTTCTTGCTGATTCATTATCTAGTATGGTAGAATGGACACGGTCATTCCAAACGACCCAATATTATCTAATATTGGGAATTTATAATGGAATCAGAGGCGGATTAAGCATACGTGGGGCCCTAGACCATTCAAATTTGTGGGGCCCTTAGATTACATTTTTTTCTCGTACTTTTTTATTTATTCAAGTATAAAAGTATTTATATATCTTTTCATTTAAGAAAGCATATGTAAATTATAAATAAATAATAAATTAAATTTTACTTTATTTTATTAAATTAGAACTAAAAAATAATCATAACATTCTGAAAAATCATTGTTTTTCTTAATTTTTTAAAATTTATTTTCAAAAAAATCCATCATAAGGGGGCCCCTAATCATTGGGGGCTCCAGGCCATGGTTTAGTCTAGCCTAATGGGTAATCCGGCCCTGAATGGAATCGCCAGGAATCGAACGTCGTAATAGTATTGTATTAAAAGTATCAAAGTTTGAAAAATCCTGTGATAGAGGCTATAAAACGATAAGTAACTGCTAAAAAAATGGTGTGGAATTGTGTTTGAATCGTCATGAATCAAACGCATCAAATAGTAATAGCTCAAATTCAAATGAGCATCGTATTAAACATATCATTATTTGAAAACCATGTAAAAAGCAGAGAAAATGATTAATAACTTTTGTAAAAGCGATCTTCAAACCAAGGTTGGCAAGTTTCTGCCGAGGTGGTTAAAACCTCTCGTAGAAACCGGTTAAAACTGGCATGGCAGAAACCTTTTCCTGCCACATTTATGGCAGAAATTCGGAAAATGGCATAAAAGTAAGTACTGAGATTGACATACAATATATAATTCATAGAAAAAAACAATTAAATGTTAAACAAAATACAATTTATTTACAAAATTATCACCATTCAAAATCAAATATTACATTGTTTACACTCTGCAGTAATCTATAAAAGAAGACAAGTTTTGATGCAGTTTCTAAACCTAAACAATTTCTCAATTTGCTATACACAAACGAGAAATTTGAGAAGATTCTCTCAAGTTCAGCCGAACTAGCAGGCATTGCCATCAAGGAACAAGCAAGATTTGTGAAACTTTCATCTGTTGCTTATTTTTTAAAACTGGACCACCATGTAGCAGTCTAACCAATTATAATGCCTCTTAGATACAGCAAAGATTAAAACTGTTACTGTTATAATAAATGGATTGTTGTCATGCAAATTATGTCTTGAAAAGAAAAAAACTATTTGAAAATAGCTCTATTCAGTTATGTTAAGAGTTAAATGATAATAATTATTGAATTTCAGAGTTTAATGTAATAAACTAAAATATAGTATTTATATTTATTATTACATAACTTTACTCTGTATTTCATATAAATATTTGATATACAGCACTCTTTATATTTAACATAAGCAAAATAATATATATTTACAAACAATGAATTAAAAAGTTTGTTACAGTTACATGGAGTTACATTTTTCAATTTACTTTAACAAAATGTCATTAAGCAATTACTAGAACTAGTATAGATGTTTTTTTAGTTTCTGCCAGTTTTTGCTGGTTTTTACCGGTTATAACCAGTTTCTGCCACTGGCATGGCAAAAGCCAGTTTCTGCCAGCAAAAAGCCAACCCTGCTTCAAACATCATGAAATTGCGATTGAATCGAACGTATCAAGTAGTGATAACGCAAATTTGAACTTCGCACGTCGTTACAACATCATATTAAAAATGTCAAATTTGAAAATCCATGAGAAAAAGCTGCAAAAAAATTAACCGAATCGTGTCGTTTAATCGATTTGAATCATACTAAAATTAATGAATTTGAAAAACCATGTGAAGAGGGTCGATTAAATGATTTATAACTGATGTAAAACTTATCTTAAAACGACAGGAAATTGTAACCCTAATTGTAATTTTGAAAGACGTAATAGCATCGTATTAAGAATATCGAATTTGAAAAACCATGCGAAAAGGGCCAGAAAAGTGATAAATAGCTTCTGAAAAAATTATAATCAAAGGACATGAAATTACGATGGCATCGTCACGAATCGAGCACTTCTAAAACGTGGTAACTGAAGTTCAAGATACGCAAGTCGTAATAACCTATTAAATATGTTAAAATTTGAAAAACCTTTGGGAAATGGTTGAGAAAAATGATTAATTACGATCGAAACGTTTATTTCTGCCAAAAGAAAAAATCGATCAGAAAACCACATGGATTTACCAAAACCCCGACGCTAATAGGCTGTTTCCACCCCTTTAATCTATAATGAGTATCTGAATACCCCGCGCTCACGCGCTTATTTAAAAGACAAACAGGGCACCCTGCAAACCCAGTCTAGAATAAATTCTGATTGTAGGGCACTCTGACTAACTTCTTCTTTTGACTTGTAAGCATTTGCATGACTGCTGCTCACGCGCATTCTTCACACATGTAGTTTAAACTCACACATAATTCAAATTCACGCATTTTTCAAATTAATAGTTTTGCATTAGATTTGAACCAAAACTCTGCACTTCATCCCATTTTTTTAAGCTTTCTTCTATGAAAATTATTGGTACAGTTCCTTGTTATTCGTGTTTTTCTGACTTATGTTAGTTTTTGTATTATAATATGTCAATATTGTATTTAACTCTTTACACCAATATATATATTTTTTTTTGTAGATGGTATAATTGTGAGAGTCAAGTACTGCAATCTTTTGAAACTATTATCCCCAGTTTTAAGCATTATCAAGGCATCTAAACATGGCTAACTTAAAAAGACATTTTAATTTTACAAAATCTTCAATAAATCAAGAGCGAGATATGACATTTCCCATTTCATCTTCTGGCAAATCATCTTATCGAGATTTTGACAAAAATAATTTAATGAATGATATAAGAAATTGTCTAGATGTTTGCTGTTGTTACATTCAGGTATGTAAGTTATTCTCATTTTAAAATTTGTATCTATTAAATATTTTATATCTATGAAGTCTCTTATAGAAATTGAGCTTTACTTAGAATTTATTCTATCAAAAAATCTTTACTGATGACTGTAATCAATTTATACTGAAACCTTATAGAATCATTATTAAGGCCTTCACTAAGCTTTCATCATCTTTCCAAATGCAATAAAATCGTGAATTTGGCAAACAAAATTGTGTGTCGGCAAAAGTATTGGGAAATGATTTTTTTCTACTGAAAAGAAAGATATATGTCCCCCCTCCCGATCCTAAAATTCGAAAAAGGGAGAAGGAAAAAATAAATCTAGGGAACTTTTCTGATTAAATCTGCAATTTTTTAAAATTCAATTACAGTAGTTTCCGTTAGATATGCCGCATAGATTTAGGGATAGTAAGATGCATTTTATCATGCATTTGTTTTTGCAGAAAATGCGTTTTCTAGTGATAACATAATGTGTCTTCAGGTTGTAATTAAAATTGAAGAATATAATTAAAACATTTTATCTCTTTCTTCTTCCCTTTGAACAAGTGGATGTGTTTTTTTAAATTATAATAAAGTTTCTAAATTAAAATAACCTTTATTCAGTTATTGTTTAAAATATTAACTATGAGATTCAGGGTTGGCTTTTTGCCAGGGAAAAATCAATTTTTACCAGGACTTGAGGTTTGACTTCTTAACAGAATTGGTTTATTCTTTAAAATTTGCAAATCTTTAAACACTTGTGATTGTTCAGACTGGCTTGTGTATTGAAATTTTTTTGCATTTTAAAGCTTTACAATGTATTTAATTATTGCTATCATATAACTTCTAGCTGTTTAATTTGTGGGGGGATGGTAGTTATCGGCTGTGTCAATCGTCATCTATGAAAAGATACCCCAACGTAGAGTCGAGTCAACATGTCTTATAAACTAGTGAATTGTAGTTGTAATTTAGTAGTGGTAGATACGCTACAGTACTCCCCCATCAGAATTATATCTGTGATAGAATTCGATGAATGGATACCACTAGTTGAAGCATTGATGTTTTTGTGCAAAGACGGGAGAGCTGCATCAAGATCACCGTATTTTTTTAGTGCTGAATGTGAGAGGTTTATTAACTTCACGGTTGTAGTCGCTCTCGTGTTGCCCCCAGCAGTCGACTGTATATGTTGTACGTTGTGTGTGATTGAAACTGAGCAGCAACAGCGGTAGGAGGTGGATGATGTCACAGTCACAAGTAGCAAGTCAACTGTTCAATGTGGACCATCCATCGAAGTAGGCGTTTCCAGATCGAAGTGGGCGTTAATGTCAAGGTAGGCGTGTTCATATCGAAGTGGGCGTTACTGCTAAGGTAAGCGTGTTCACATAACAACCGGGTCACCAACATAGAGTCGAGTTAACATGTCTTATATACTAGTGAATTGTAGTTGTAATTTTGTAGTGGTAGATATGCTACAAATTTTTTTATTGTTATTTAATTAGACTTTGAACTCACTCTGTGGAGCTGGCTCGTCTTTAGCAAGAAACTTGTTTCATACTGTGCGTGAAGTACCTGTCTATTACAATGTATCTCTCCAGTTTCTATCTGTATGGGAAGAAATAAGCAAAGCTACTGCTGGTGCTAGTGCTGCTGTAAAAACTGAAACGCTTATGATGCTGCAGGAGATTTTAAATGACTTAGAAATGGGGACAAGTGAGGCTAACATTGAAAATACTATTGCTGAAAGTTTTCAAGTAGGTTTTATTCATGATTATTTTGTTAAATTGGTGTTTAAGGTACTCAGAGACAAATAAGGATGTTAGAGTATACCTGGAATTATTACGGAAATTTACCTTCAACTCAAGGAATTTGTGGTATCAGATGAACTGATTTAATTATTCTATTTCTACAATTCAGAATTTGTTACCCCACTTCTAAACGACATTATATTGTTTTTTATCATTCATAAGTTAGACTTCTGACATTTTTTAATAATAATTATTTAAATTGACGAAAAGTATACCACTTTTAGAGCAAATAATTTTTCAATTTCTGATTTTTTTTTTGTGTTATAAATTTTAAGTATTTGTTATCTTTTTGTTTCAAACATTTTCCCTCCAATTTTTTCAAGTCTCAAGGGTGTAGAGTTTTTATAAACTTTCATAAAACTCTTATTAAATCTTGCAAAAAAAAGAGAAAAAGAAAAAAGCGTGTAATTTCTGAGCTTTAGGTACTCGTTGCCAGTGCATTTTAAAAACATAAATTTTTTCTTATCAGATATTTAGTAAAAAAGTGAGCATCTATTTTGGCATGCATTTCCTAGGACTTTTTAAATACTGCAAGAGAATTAAAGAATGCTCGATTGCCTTGCTGATCAATATATAGACAGTATTGTATGGCATGCTTTTAAGTTAAATCATGCTGATAAAGCTAATTCATAGTTTTGCCAGGAAAAGCATATCCTATCTAAAAAGTTCTCATTAAAGTAACAAATGTAAAAGAAAATATCAACTTTTTTATGAAGAAATAATTCATAATTGACCTTTATGTTATAAAAACACATATGACTTTCAAGATACTTCAATAAAACATTTAAAGAATTTAATATGAAATACTTTTTTACCTTTTCTCTCTGCTAAATATGCTAAAGAAATGCTTTAGTCTTTAAAGCACACTTTCCTCAAACAAATAAGAATGTCTAATTATCGATTATCTCTTATAAAACGAAATAAAATATAAATTCACAATTTTTCTAACTATGTGTAGATCTATGTATGCACTCCAGTCTATGGTCTTTTTTTTTTCATGTTGAACTTAAGTATTGTATATCATTTAAAGTCATCCTGGCTGTCTTATGCACTAGATCATAAATAAAATAAAATTTTCAGATTTTTCCCTAATGACTGAAAAAGCAGTTTCCTTGGAAAGTAATTTGATGTTTGCATGTGGGGACTCAATTGTTTATGAATTGTGTTTACAACTTTTCTGATTTTAAATTTAATTTAGGTAATTGGTACTTGCCTCTCTTCATTTATTGAACTTCAAGCACAATTCTCCTTAACTACTTGGAAATCTTTGTCTAAACTGTCCAAAAACTTTACTAGTGATTCAGTGAGACATGGTCTGCAATGGAAATCACTGGAAAGGAATCCTTCAAAAATCTCAGTCAATACAGATTTGAATGCAACTATCAAAAAACATTTTTCTCATATATTCAAAGTTGGGAATTTGAAAACAAATGAGCCTACTGAGCATCAGCAATATCATTCCTCTCCTATATCTGCAGCTACAAATATGTCAGTATATTCGCCATTTGGAACGCCAGCTGTTACGGACAGTTCATCGTCAAACTCTGTTTGGCCAACTCCAACTTCAATTTGGACTTCGTCAGACACTAAAACTGTTAATTATTCCAGATCAAATGGATCTCCTGAACAAGGTAAGATACCTTTTCCCTTTATATTAAAACGGAAAGCATATTTTTATGATAATTTTTTTTTTTAAGTAAGAAATTTTCCCCTCCTACTCATGTTGTTAATATGTTATCTATATTTTTTTATCATTAAATAATGGTTTTCATTTCTGGTTGTATTATTTATTAGACCTTACTTATTAACTTCAACCTGTATCTATAGCTATATACATGCATATATATATATATCAGGGTGGGCAGGTTTTTGACATGTGACAGTTTTTGACAGTTTAAACCATGGTTTAAACCGTCACGTCAAAAACCTCACTGTCGAAAATGTCAAAAACCTATATTCATATGTGAAATTTAATTAATACATAAAATTTATATATTTTTTATAAAGGATAGTGTTTCTAAATATGTTCTAGAAAAAATAAATTTAAAATTTTGAAGAAACACTTATATTTTGAATAGTAACCAAAATCTTGTACTTTTGAAAGCTCACATNATATATATATATATATATATAAATAGGTGCTAAAAACTGGAAAATATGTTTACACTTAATGTGACACCTAGTCATTGTAGAACAAATTATATTTGAAGCAAGTGATTTGCGATTGAGGATTCTGGCCTATGTTTTTGGAGGAGTTATTCCCAGGACCAGTATTTCTCTTATTATGATCTCATTTTGTAAATAATGTTCAGTGAGCTTATTATTTATTTAAATGTGAAAAAGTCTATTGATTGATTTTAAATTCAAAATTTTATTCTATTATGATTGTAATGAATAATTATAGTCTTTTTTTTCTTAATTTTAATGTATTCAGAAAAGCTGAAAGCAAACAGAGCTAGAAATATATAATCATTCCTTTATCTCTTATGTCAATAACACAGATATTATCTTCCTTTTTATTATTTGAATCAAAAACTTTTAATTAATGATATTGTCATGATTACAGAGTAAGATACACTTAATTCTGTATTACAGTAGAGAACCATTTATCCGGTATCCAAATAACCGGGAAACCAGAAAACCGGGAAAAATTTTGCTCGGTTTTCCCACCATTTTAAACTAGAGCGATTATGATAAAAAGCGGAAATTGAACTCATCCTTGAAGTTGAGTAGAGGAAAATGTAGGGGAGGGGAGGATTTTTCCCCCCATTTACTCAGAGAAACGTCATTTCCTCCGTGACCTTGAAGGCAGGTAAGGGAGAAATGTTTTATTTTCTCCTTTAGGCCATCAATCAAGCTCAAGGGTGTGGCATGCTGATTTCGTTTTCCGCTTGATTTACGAGGGAGGTGGGCACTGATACGCATTGCATGCTTATCAGTGAACAGAAGATGAAAGAGAAAAATATACAGTAGGGAACCGATTATCTGGAACGATCGGGACCATCGCTATTCCGGATAGCTGATTTTTCCGATTTTCTGAATCGCTACAAAAAGCCGTTTTTTTATTGCTAAAAAAATTTTACATTTTTATTGCTATTAACTAAAAAAAAAAAATATTTGGAAATAATCTTTAAAAAACAAAGTAATACACTAATGATTATTTGCAAAATGATGGTAAGGTAAACATCTTTCAATAAAAGAAAGAAAAATCCTAAAATCTTATGAGGAAAAAAAAAATTTTTTTTAAAAAATGTCAGGAAAATTTAGCGAATTTCGTTCCGGTTTTTTGGTTTTACGGTTTACTGATTTCTGGATATTGGGTTCTGTACCATATTTATCTATTTGACATCGATTAATAAAAATAAAATCTTTTTCTTCTGAATAAGTTCTCATTCTTTGGAAGTGCGGTATCATTTGCAAGTTTTTATTGATGTGGAATCACATCTGCAGTAATTAAAAATCGTGTTTTTATCAACAAGAAAAAAATAAAAGGGGAACTGTTTATTAATTTAAACATAGGATTATTTTATGAAGCAGATTGCAGTTTTGTTTTTCTGATTCCACTACGTTTGATTTTTTTTTCTTTTCACAAAAAATTTCGCACTCAATAAATTATTTTTATTCAGAAATTTTATCATTAGGTTTTTTTTAAAAATTCCGTTGATCTTGCCTTGTTCCGGGTTTTAATATTTATGCTAGTGCCTTTTTTAACTATCGTTATTGGTGCGATAATTTTCAAGTGTTTTTATTTAGATTAATACGTTTTCCTTTTATTTTATCGTTTCCCCCGTATAATTAGGTAGGAAATATATTGAGTTATTTAACCATTGGTTTGTTTATATTAGTTAATTTATGAATTGTAATTATTTTTAAAATATAAATACAAGAATTTTGCATTTTTTAAGCTTCTTTTTCTTGTCTAAACTTGCAATTTTTTTTATTCTTTTAAATGTTATTTTTCTATCATTTTTTTTTCTTTTTAAAGTTAGGAGTACCTTTCTTTTTTCTCTTACTTTATGCATTACACTTTTTCCTTGTAATTCTGGTTCGATAAAACATCAATTAACGACACTTTTTGGTCGATCCAGAAAACCGGGAAATTCAGACATCCGGGATAGTGATGGTCCCGAGCATCCCGGATAATTGGTTCTCTACTGTATTTATAAAAGTTATATAATTTAGAAAATTAAAAATAAATCTAACGACATATTTGATCCTCAGTGTATAAATTGTTTTCATAATGTAAAATTAACCAGAACTGATATGAAATTTTATCTTTCTAGCATTCTATCTATTTAAATAAAATAAAAAATAATCATTTATAAAGATAATTATTAAACAAACGAAGTTTAAACAGAATTTTTGAGCATTCAAAATCTCAGTTTAGGATATTTATATTATAGTAATAGATGAAAAGAACTTCTCATAGTTAACAGGGCACAATACAGGTGGATTTTACTTCTGTTTAGCTATGCTTTCACAAAAATCATCCAATCAGAATCTTCACCTTCCCGAAAAGAATTTAAAAATTACATCTGCAAATTTTTAATAATTGCTTTGCATTTTGCAGAAAAATAATTTGCCACACATACATATTTTGTAGGTCTCATGAACACGTGCAAGTTTATTGACGCAACCCAACCTTTTCTTATTGGCAATTTGAAAATCACATATCACAATTTATATTCATGCATTTTTCATTGTGATTCATATTCATGCTATCTAAAAGTCACACATAACCTTCCATTTCACAAGATTTAAAAATCACATCACGATTAGCATTCACACATTTTAAAAATCATACATTATAATACTTCCTGCTATCTTAATATCACACATCTTGATTTGTATTCACATGCTCTAAAAAATCCTCACATTAGCAATTTTATAATGTGAGAAAAACAAAAAATACACGACTTTCTTGTGTTCTCATGCTCTAGTGAAAACACTTATTTAAAAGTTTTAGACTAGTTTCAGTTACTTAAAACACAGCAATAGAGTCTTTTAATTATACAGGGCGCATAGCATTTTTAAAAAGTACTTAAATGTGCTTATTTTTGATTTGCGTTTTTTAAAAGCCCGTAAAGGTGCTTTTTTTTATTGGGTGATTTTGAAAAGTGCTTAATTTTTCCTTTACCCTGTTGATTTTCGCCACATATTATGCATAAAGACACTGTTCATATTGTTCTATTCTACGTTTTTGCAATTAATTTGACCCCAATCTATTTCGCCGTACCGTCGGTCCTCGGGGTAAAAGAACACCATTCGTTTTCTGATTTCAAATGTCATGATTTTGACAATTCTCAAAAACTCTGCCAAAAGTTTTTTTTTTTTTTTTTTGACACGACAGTTAAATCTGGATAAAACCGTCATTTGTCAAAAACTTGCCAATCCTGCTAAATTATATTTTTTATAAGTGCTTAAAAATATTTTTGAGTGCTTGAAAAGGTGCTTATTTTTTGTTGAAAAATTTGGCTATGCACCCTGTTATAGGTTTCTATGTCTTTTAAAATATTCAAAGACCCTGTGCAAGAGTTCTATATTATACTGCCCCAACTGTAAACTGATTTTCATATCAATAAATGTTAGAATTTCTGGTTTGTTAATGATACTTATTGACATTAATAATATTAGCAAATACGCATTTAATATTGGTGACAACCTGAAAACACTACTTTGCATTTTTTTCAATTGTGCATCTTTTAATTTATTTATAGTATTTTATTGGATGAGCTACGTAGAACTCTGAACTCAAAATTCAAATTGGCAGCTCCATTCAGCCATTGAGGAGTAATATCTAAATAGTACTGAGCTTTTGTATTCATAATATTATAGATCTCTTATTAAAAATCTGAAGGCTGCATTGAAGGTAACTGATTCCACTTAGATCTATATCTAATTATGGTATATTCTCTTAGAAAGTTAGGAATTTTATTTAAATATTTTTTTATTTTCAATGATGAGGTTTACGTAAAAATCTAAGCAAGGAATAGTAACAAGCATAAAAAATGTAATTAGAAGAAAGACCAAATTTATTGCCCCAAAAACTCTAGCTTACCAGTATCTCGCTATCTCAAAGTCTCATTCTCACCGTGCTATCGATGCGTTTTAATGCATTTATCTGACATTTACTTCCGATTTGCAATCGATGACACACAAAAAAATTTATCACTTAGTTTTTATTATGAATTTTTTTACTTTAAGTGATGTCTTAAGATTAAAAACTGATTGGTATTAGCAAATGTCTGTGGTGGCAAGTAGTTCTGCTTTCTTCTTCTTAAGTTCATAACATATTTAATTTATTACAGATTTTTTAAGTGAAATTTAATTTCAGATCCACTAAATGGTTCCCCGAACAATATTGATTTAGATGAAGTCATAAACCTTTTATCTTGTGTTCCTGCTCAACAAACTGGAACTAAAGCGAATAGTCAAAATTATTTATCAATGTGTTCAAACAGTGAACAAATGTATCATCTTCTACCAAAAGTTTCAGTGCCTCCCATCTCTCGTCGATTGAACTCTCATAGATCATGGACTAAAGAGCCAAGAGATCTATTTGGTAATGATTCATGGATTTGGAGGATTGATAACATGAATTGTTCTGGACTTCCTAGAAATGAAGATATATTAAAGCTTTGTAATGAAGCCAACAAAGACATTCAGACTCATTGGGAAAATAAAGAACTACAAAAGTACTAGTTTTACATTTATTTTGATTTTATTATTATTTGATTTTTCTGCTTCTACTTATGCTACAACTAATTATTTCTTTTAATATTTATAAATTTCATACAAATACTGATAGACTATCATTAAATTAATGCTTGTGTCCTCATTTTGAAACGTAATAAGTTTACTTCAGATTTATTGCTATCTTTCATCATTGCAGTAAAATTGCAAATAATGTGCTATTTTAAAATTTTTATAGTATTTATTTTACATTTCTTGAACTGTTTTAGTACATTATGTACCAAATCAGATTCTTCACTAAACCAGATAAGTGCATCCTTATGCATTAAACCATATTAGTGCAAAATGTAGTAATGCCAACCTGTATGGATGTTGAGTAGTCACATCAGAAAACATTGTGTATTTTCATTATACAGTTAAACCTTAAAAACCTGCGGTGCTTGGTGGTTTTAAAGTTTCAGATTTAAATTAATTCCAGATTTAAGATACATTATTTAAACCAATAGAAACGTCAAAGTTACTGAACCAGAATTATTTTTTAAAAAAATGTGTTTGATTCCATGATAAATAAAATATATATAGTTTTTTGTACGTATTTTCGGCAGCAATTCTAGAGATTTTAAAATGTTGATATTCCAATGACAAAATTACCACAGGGGAATTTTGAGTTTTGCTATTGAGTAATTTTTTTATGCTCTCTGTTTATGATGATTAAGTCAAATATTCATGTAGTCTTGATATTCAGTTTTTCAACTGTTATTACAATGCAATTCTTTACGATTTTTAGAATATTGATATTTTCGTGAAATATTAATAAAATTTTCAAATTCTGAATCATGCATTTAAGTAATCACGTTTTGACACATTTGATTTCCTAATTAAATTTGCAGGATTTTATTTTAATATTTTTTTGTTCTATCTAAGCATTTCAACTTAGTTCTTAAAATCTTGATATTTTTTATTAGAGCACATTATAATGACACATGAATTTCAAATCGTGTATTTGAGTAATTACTTTAAAATGGTACTTTTTTGCACTCAGTTTGAGATGATTTGAACTTAAATTCATGTGGATTGATTTTTCAGCAGTCACTGTTCCAGAATTCCTCATGGTTTTTAAAATCTATTTTATACAATAATATTAAGACAGGAATGAAATCACTGAAATGAGAATTAAATGAATCTTTCTAATTTGAAATTGATTTAGTTAATTTTTTTCTGGTTACAAGTAGAAAAAAGTTGTACAGAATTAAGAGTTTAATAGATTTTAGTCTGTCATATTTTTGAGGTTATACTCTACTATGAAAAACATCCTTATTTTCTACAAAAAATTTTAAATTTGGCTAAATTTCCAAACAGAGCATCTACTATAGCTATATGATCTATTTAAAATATTCATATCTTCCTTAAGTGTTCTGCCTGCTATTTTCTTCATGAGTCATTTGTATTTGACAAAAGAAAATGGGAAGAAATTTAGGAGAGGGAGTTAGCATCTTATCTATTAAACAGATATGCTGATGTCTGAAGCAAGCTCTGGCAACTATTATAGAATGCTCATACATCAAATTTCGTCATGTATTCTCTGAGTGCACTTTTTGTGTAGCAACTGGGAGAATAGTGTTTTGATGCCACATGATAGTGTGTTTTTTACCAGCAATGTGATTGTGAACAAGCTACTACTTTATAATTATTAATTTTTACTTAATATTTAATTTCGTTTGTAACAAGCTTTTTTTTTTAATACTATATAAGTACTTAAACTTTAAGCTAAAAGTAAAATTATTGATCATAGGATATCCTAAGAAACCATTGTTGACAACAAAAGTGACTCCTGCATTGAAAAAGATAAATATAATATTTGTAAACTTTTTAAGGCATATTCATTGAATTTCCATGCCTTATCAAATCTAATTTATCAGATGATAGAGCATATTGCAACTTAATGCTCGAAAAATGTTTTTGTGTTAAATGTGGGTTGCAAAGACTATGAGAAAATTCATAAGATAATGAACATTCAGGTTGAATACACCAAAGCTGCCAATGAAACAAACTCTTAAATTGCTGTAAAGTAAATGTTTGCCATGCTCTAAAAATGCAGCAAAGAGAGCAGTGGGCATAGAAAACCACTCTCATAGATTAAATATGCCTAAAAGCACAATTTCTGAGCTTGCTCTAGCCTGTAAAAACAGACAATTTTTTAATAGTACTTATTAGAGCAATGTTTGTGATGATAAATAGTTGTATCCTACTAATATTTTGGTGAAACAAACAGCAAAGTTAAGTAGATTTATTGTTGCATAGTGACTGATAATGATGGGACATTAACTCTTCAAGCTAATCAGTGAGGATCTTGAGGAAAAAGGTTTGAGCTGGTGAGAATGCTTTGGTTTAGTGAAGACATAGCTTAGGGATGTTGCATTTATTAAAAAACTTCTATAATGAGATGTGGTCCATGCCTGAAAAATCCATCTTCATCTTCTGTGTTTAATATTCATATGCTTCTCATTGACAATTATTGCATCCTAGATTTGAGTTCCAAATGAAAATGTAATTTTAGAAAAGAACAAGCAACATGTGAAGATATAAAACCACATCAAATTTTGAATTATTCTTGAACTAGATGACTTACTTTATTAACCTGTATTAATTTTGTGTTATAGTTAAGTATTCCTGTAATAGCCTTTTCTAGTGATGAATCCAACAATTCTTCAAATATTAAGCTTTTTTTTTTTTAATCTGTTAGATCAAGTGTCGGAAAATTTAAAGGAAAAAATTACTCTTTTATTTCTTTTAAGTGATCCAGCTATTTTCAAAACTCAAAAATCTTCAATTTCATCAAGAAAAGCCATTTACGCATAAAATGAGAAGAAATTAAATACAGTTCTTTATAGATTTGTTATACCATCTCCAATATCTTGCATTAATAGATATTTGAGCTGCTCTTATAAAAATTTCACAAAGGAGCATATCTGTAAGATAATAACATTGTGATATGTGCCAAAACAGATATTTTTGTAAGATTGTAAAAGAAAAAATTAAGAAATTTTATGCAGATGTCCGAAATTTTTATTCTGAAACATGTTCATATTTGAAGATAAATGGGGAAGAACAGTTTTTGCCCATTTGTCACAAAAATAAGGATCGCATTGTCATCTATTTTATTTTGAGGATTACTAAGTTTTAACTAATCAACAACATGCAAAATCAATTAGCTATAACATGGTGAAGATGTGCTGTTCTAGAGAAAATGGTTCTTGTCGAACTCACAGAAGTGTCAGCATTTATCTCACCTGAAAATTTTATTGCATCTTGTAATGAACGTTATCTAGTTTTTACCCCCAAAACTTGTCCACTTCCAATAAGAGTACTCAAGGTGAGTTGAGACTATTCCAAGCTAACCATCAAAATGGCTTTTTATGGCAACTGTATACCTACTATATTCACCACCTAAGTTTGGGGGAAAAGATAAGCTGTTTCATCTATTAAGCCTTCATAGGGGCTTAAAGGAGTAAATAATAATGTTAATAAGAACAGGTAACACAGAAGGAAATGGTCCAAAAAAGAAAACTTTTGACACTAGTATCTCTATAAATGCTGCTAAACATCAAAATTTACAATTCCTGAGAAACTTTTCGGTAAAATCTGAGTCTTAAAAATTTTGTGAAAACCATCATATTTCCAGTGTGCTCAGGAGAAAAGAGATAAGGAAGAGACGAGGGTTAAATCAAGTTAGGAAATATAATGATTGGGGAGGAGATTTAAGAAGAAAATTGTTGTCCTGCCTTAAATTTTTTTTTCTTTCAACATCAGAAATTTTACATTTTGTTTTTAAATTTTTAGTGGAGGTAAATAAATGTTTCTGGCATTTCTGAATAGGTTATGTTATCTTTTCTTCTGTGCCAAATGATTGAAAATACTCTATTTTTGTTTGCTAAAGTGCTCAAGAGGTTTTCGAAATGGAATTTCCTTATCATCAAGATGATAATCTTGAAACAATCAATATCGAATTTTTCAAGATATATTGATTGATTCTCATAAGTAAAACTATTAAAAAAAAGTCAATGAAACTTTAAAAAGAAAATATGAATGTAAAGTAAAAGGATTGTTTTCTGCTTCAATTATTGTTAATTGCAAATTTATATGTTATTGTTGGTTTAACATAACATTAACATATTTATATATTAATTTAATGTTTTAAATATATTAGAACTATAAAAGTTAAGTGCATTGTGATTTTTGACTTCAAAATTGTGCTGTGCCACTAAACCCTACATTCAATCAATCAATTTGACATCAAAAACCCAACCTTCATATAAACATAAATATTACAAGCTTGTAATTCCAGCTTGTTTTCATTTGAAAGTTTATATTTTTGAATATTTAGAAAAATTATTTAGACTTTTCACCAATCCTGCTGTAGACATATCTATCTTGTTGTCTTTATTCATACTCATGAACTATAAAAAATTTAAATTGTTTTGTGTGAAAATGTCATATTTAATTTGTGGCAATCCTAGTTCAGTAAAAAATACATTTTGTTAATTGTTTAAAAAAAATTATGCTTCTGGTTAGATCTTCAAAAACTATTGAATCCATTATGTCCGAAATTGGAGAGGAGAAATGAAAGTTCTTAAATCATATACAACTTTTAAAACTGAGTTCGTCCAAATTTGATATAGCTCAAAACTTAACTTTCTGTTAAGAAACTGATGTGATTTAACTTAAGTTTTAACTGTTTGTTTTTCTTATATTTATTTATTTATTTTCGCGCAATTTTAGTTTGAATAGGGTAAAAAAAACTGCAAAAAAAAAAATTCTTTTTTCATCATGTTTATGAGGAATGGTATCTCATGGTTAGGGCTGCTAGTTTGTCGCGGGAAAAAAGACCCCAAATTCGCGGAAAAATCACGGGAAATTTTGAAAATTACACAAATTCTAAACATAAAAAAATTTATTATATAAATGATGCAAAAGACAGAAATTGCGCAAATAATAAAAAAAGCTTAAAAATACACAACAAAAGTATTTCTTTGAATTTCAAGCAATATTAATATTTTTATTTAAATGAACAGAATTTTGGTACAAAGTATTGTACATTGTCAGATTATTCTCATTTATCCTTCGTCTTTCATCACTTAATACATTTGTATACTTAGAAAACGATCTTTCTGCGTCGAAGATGTTTTTAGGCACCGACAAACTTCGAACTGCCACTTTTGCCAATTTAGGAGCTTTCGGTCTTTGATTTCCAAAACACGATCAATTTTCCTTCACCAACGCGCAATTCCTTGACCGTTGCTTTGTAAGAAGTAATTGCTGTGAAAACTCAAACATTCTATATTCAAACTACTAGATACAAGTCCCCCCCCTTCATCTAGAAACTGATCCATATTTAAAAAATCACAAGAAGTCGTCTGGGAAAAATTAACTGGATATGTAGAAAGGCAGTAGAAATTTCATTGCCCAGTGCAATAGCATGTATCACAATTTTTCTGTCTAAGATTTGACTTATAACATTTTCCTTCTTTTGCGATTCTAATTTCTTTTGTACTCTTACTGACTTCAGGAAGGAACCCTCCTGGGTTGTGGCCTTCCTACACTTTGGTGTAGAAAGGCCACCTTAGTTGACGAGATTGTGATTATCTCTTATCTCTGAACTATTTTCATGTCATTTTGCTATTGATTCACTCCCCTAAATATCTAATCAATTTTACATGTTCAATTTAAGGTTCAGGAAAATAGAAAATTCTGTTTAATAAAAATAATAAATTAAAAAAAAAACATTTTAAGCAATTTTCGCGCAAGTCAAGACATATTGAGAAATTCGCGGATTTTAGGAAAAAAGATGACAATTTTGCGGAAATTCGCGCCGCGACAAACCTGCAGCCCTACTCATGGTAACTTAAATGTCTGACTTTTATATTATCTAAAAACCTAAATTAGTAAACTTTTTTTTTATTTTTGTGTCTCAATAATAATTTTATTATTATCACAATCTTTTTATTATTCTCAATAATTATTTTATTGTTTGCTTTTAAAATTTAAGATTTTAAATGCTGCAAATTGTAACATTTTCTAAATTAAGTTTATATTTTAAAATTTATATATTAAAATTTATGCATTAAACGAAATCATTATATAAAAATTTTTTATAATCCTATGACTAACTATCGTGTATAAAATGCAGATAGTTGTAAAGGTAATGTGAAATACTAAAACAGCAAAATATTTTTTTAGAATTCACACTTTATACTACAATCTCTTCATTATTTTAAACTGTAGATGATAGTTTTCTTCATTTGCTGTACCTGTAAACTCTCAAAGCCATTGAATACAATTCCATATAGAACATAAATGTATTTTTAGTGCCTAAATGCATTTGTCTAGTATATCATATTTTGGTATACTAGACTGTTATCACATTATATATACTAGACTGTTATCACATTAACAGTCTAGTATATCATATTTTGATTTTGATCCATCAAATTGTTTGTTCATCTTCATCTATTTATAACACTTGTTGGTATTGTATTTCTGAAAAATATTTCATTTTTAAGTTTATTTATGTAGATGGAATAGTTCAATTTGTGAGACTGGAAGTTCAAGTGATGATGGATCTTCTGTTAATGGTCCAGATACTGATTTCCATCCTGGAATTGGAGGATCCTTTGGAAAGCATCTGTTACTTTCTTTATCAAATAGGTAAGACAGCTCAATCTCCAATTTGTTGTTATGCTGTGCATAATTTCAGTAAGCATGTAAAGTTATAATTTATTGTAGCCTTTTTTCTTCTTCTTTTTTTCCTTGCTTTTTTAAAAAAATTTTAGACATTATTTTTCCCTTTTAGTTAAAATGTAACTTATTTTACTATATTTTTTCTGTTTAAAAAATTAATTTGGGTGTATTATTAATTTTGATCAGATATAGTTTGCATCATGTATTTATTTATTGCTATTATTTTTTTTTTTAATAAAACTGACGCTTAGTCACTTTCTGAATCTGTATGATAAAACTATTTTAATACAGTAGAGAACCATTTATCCGGTATCCAGATAACCGGGAAACCAGAAAACCGGGAAGAATTTCGCTTGGTTTTCTCGCTATTTTAAAAAAAAAGCAGAAATTTGACTCATCCTTAAAGTTGAGTCAAGGGAAGGGGGGGGGGATTCTTCTCCTCACTTGCCCAGAGGAACTTCAATTCTTCCCCTGACCTTGAAGATCATTAGATCTAGAGGGGGCAGGGAAGGGACAAATGTTTTATTTTCTCCTGTGTTTATTTTCTTTTTCTGATAAGCTGCCATCAATCAAACTTAAAGGAGTGGCAAGCTGATTTCGTTTTCTCTTTGATTTACGAGGGGGTGGGGAAAATGTATTGCACAGGCATAGCAATGAATGTTTGAGTTAAGGAACTTGAAACATCTGGCGTGAAATGTGAGATTTATTTTAAATCATCCACTTCAGTTTCTCAGTTTTGTTATTTATTATGGTGAATTGTTTTATTATTTCAGATAATGCATTATTTAATCACCAGTTATATTCATCTATTTGACATCAATTAACAAAACAATATTTTTTTGTTGAATAAATTCTGATTTCTTAGAAATGCGATATCATTAGCAAGTTTTTCTTGATGTGTAATCACATCTGCTTTCGTTAAAAATAGTATTTTAATAAAAAAATAAAATAAAAGGAGAAGATTGTTTATTAATTTAAGCATATAATCATTTGTTAATAAAAGCAGGCAATTATTTTATAAAAAAGATAGTAGTTTTCTTTTTTTTTTTTTTTTTTTTTTTTTTTTTTTTTTTTTTTTTTTTTTTTTTTTTTTTT